TATATATATATATATATATATATATATATATATATATATATATTTGTCAAGGCAGTGTCCACCTCACATGAACATAGCTTTATCATTCTCCGAGAATAGAGAAGCTTAGCCCTCGTTTTTTTCTTATTTTTGGAAGAATGAGAATGAAAAATATAGCCGTTACAGGCCCCACACAAAATATAGAACCATGTCAGGGATGCGTCCTCGCCACGGCAGGGACGCAGCCTGATTTTCAGGTATTTCTGGGCACGGTGTGCAGGCCATGTCAGGGACGCATCCTGGCCACTGCAGGGAAGCAGTCTAATTTTCAGGCAATTTTGGGCACGGTGTGTAGGTCATGTCCGAGACGCGTCCTGGCCACGGCAGGGACGCAGCCTGATTTTCAGGCATTTTTGGGCACGGTGTACAGGCCATGTCCGGGACGCGTTTTGGCCATGGCAGGGACGCTGCCTGATATTCAGGCAATTCTGAGCAGTTTCTGGGCACGGTGTGCAAGTCATGTCCGGCACACGTTCTGCCCACGACAGGGACGCGGCCTTATTTTCAAGCAATTCTGGACAGTTTTTCTGGGTACGGTGTGCAGGCCATGTCCGGGACGCGTCCAGGCCACGACAAGGACGCATCCTTATTTTCAGGCATTTCTGGGCACGATGTGCAAGCCATGTCCGGGACTCGATATGATGAATAATGGTCATATATTTCATTTTAATGAAAAAAGAATGAGAACCAAACAAATAGGGGCTTAGCCCTCGTTTGGCCCCCATTTCTAGAAATGAAAATTGGTGAAATAATTTTTTTGAAAAAAAAGGGAAAGTTTTCGATTTACGTGTATATTATTTTATGAAAGATTGTGTAGTTGAAAATAGGAGAGAGTAAAATATAATGGAATGTAATTTAATGAGGGCCAAACGGGGGCTTAACCTTCAAATTTTTCATAGGGGTAAATAGCACAACATCATTACCTTTCAACGTTATTTTGCGAAACGTCCCTACCTTTAATTTTTTTGATATTTTTACCCTTATCTTCACCTTTTACTGCGAAAATCATCACTTTTATCAAATTTCTCGTATAAAATGACAAACATACCCCTTATTTAAATAAAACAATATAAAAGAAAAGAAAAAATTTAAAAATAAATTGCAATAATACTTCCAAACGTTTTTTAAATGTGCACATGAGTCCTAATAAATTATTAAAAGGGTATTTAGCACAAAACATCCTTAACTTTCATTATTATTGTGTAAAATGTTCCTACATTTCATTTTTTGACATTTTTACCTTATTTTCATATTCATTGAAAAAATCATTATTTTCATCCATTTTCTCAATTAAAAGCGATAAAATGACAAATATACCATTCTATTTAATAAACAAAAATAAAAAACAAATTGCAACTATACTCCCAAATTTTTCAAAAAAAAAAAAAAAGTACAAATAAATTTCAAATAAATAATTAAAAAACAAAAAATACTTTTTTTAAAATTATTTATTTGTGATTTTTTGAAATTTTTGGAAATATAGTTGCAATTTGTTCTTTATCTTTCTTTATTTTTATTTTTATTTTTGTTTGTTTGAAGATGAGTATATATTTGTCATTTTACAGCTTTTAATTGAGAAAATTGAAGAATATAAAGATTTTCGAAATGAAATATGATACAAGGGTGAAAATGTCAAAAAATGAAAAAGGTATGGACGCTTTGCACAATAATAATGAAATGTACGATTTTTTTGCTAATTACCCTTTTAATAATTTATTTTGACTCATTTGCACTTTTTAAAAAAAGTTTGGGAGTATAATTACAATTTATTCTTTAAATTTTCTTTTCTTTTTTATTGTTTCATTTAAATAAGAGGTATATCTATCATTTTACACAAGAAATTTGATGAAAATGATGATTTCCATAATAAAAGGTGAAGGTAAGGTTAAAAGTGTCAAAAAATGAAAGGTATGAAAGTTTTGCACAATAACATTGAAAGATAAAGACGTTTTGTGCTAATGACCCTTTTTTCACAATATCCTCCCATGTCTTGTAACAGCTACAATCTAATAGTTCGTTAAAAACATATTATCCTAGTTTGGTGGGAATTAAAATTAAATTTTTAGTAGATTTCGATAAAAAGTCAACAAAATATGTGGTTGAAAGTTTGTGATTTCTATAAAATATGTGGTTAAAATTAATTATTGATTTTGACTTAAATAAAAATTTAAATGTAAATTTCTACCAAACCAAAGCATTAGAAGATTCTTCCAACAATGATGGTGTTGAAGGCAGACAAGCTCTGAAAGCACCTTGTTGGACCAGAAGGAGATGCAAGAATTGAGATTTAATGGTATAATATGAAACAAAAAGAGAGATAAGCAAATGAACCAATGTTTTATTCAATAACAATATGGAGAGAATACAATTATAGCAGTAAAACTTCACAAATCTAGAAAAAAAGTCTAGTATTTATAGAAAAAATCCATCCCTGAAAGTAGAGTTGTAGATGAAATAAAATGTCAAAGATTTCGTTATCTGATCTCATCATGTCTAACACAAATTCCAACTCCCAATATACTTTCAAATAGAACTTCAACTAGAATTTGTCAATTAAACTTGAATATGATTCCTCAATAGTATTCCAATTAGAATTCATCTTGATGTACACTTCTATTAAAACTTTACAATTATTTTAACAAGAAATTTGGGTCACACCCAAATTCTATCAGATGGAACCATAGTAAGCACCCTCGAGTACACAAAACCTAATTTGCCACATAAAATATATACAATGGATCTTGGCTCTTCTCATTCAATATGTTTGAACCAACAAGTTTACATTGTTAAAAATTGAGATCTATTTCTTAAATTTGTCCATATGATTGATCATTGTTCAGAGAGAAATAACAAGATAAGAAAATATAGAAAAATAAAGAAAAAATTACGAACTAACAAAGCTTTCAATTATATGAAAAATTGTTAAAATCATAGAATTTTACTCACTCAAACTCGAAGCATCATGGAAAAATAATAATCTAACCTATATCATATTCACTAATTTCTACTATTTAAACAACTCATGAAGGGGGGGAAAATTAGGATGCTCGACTTCTAATTTTTCCTATAAAGAGACCCTCAAGTCACATCCCTCAAAAATAAGAAAATTAACGCCATTTTGCAGAGATAATTTGACCTTACTTTTGGTTCCAGGTTCCCAACACTTTCTTTCTTTTTTTCTTTCTTTTTTTTTTTTTTAACAAAAACAAATGAAAAAAAAAATGAAATTTAATGGAATATACATCATCTTCAATTTGAGCTTCTTAGTATCCTAATTTCAAAGGATTGTTAGACGAACAGGTTAAAAGATAATATTTGTTGTGTTACGGTGCAGACTTTTCTTGTTTCTTCTTTTAGTAAAATTAGGCATCCATGTATGTTCAAATTTCAACCTTGACTGGAACTAAAAAGTTGAAAATGAAAACTAAATACTTTGACGGTTGTAGGGGGTTCTCAATTAAAATTTTAATAAATTTTAAAAAGGGTAAATATATTGAAACCACATTACTTTTTTGTTACATCACATTTTTAAATATTTTTTATTTATTAAATTGGACATAAATAATCACTTAATTATCTCCTTAATTCTTATGTACGTCACAAGCTTTTAAATACCACTAAACTTCCTTTTCTTCTCTTTTTTCTTTTCTTTGTCTTCACTTTTTTTTTTTTTTTTAATATGATATAGGTTTCTCATATTTTAAATCATGTTATTAATTTTTTTTTTTTTTTTTGATATTCTAATGTCGAATAACGAGAATGGGTTCTTGAATTTGATAAGTATTCCATTTAGACTTTAACGTGCATCTGAATATAAATTAAGCATTCTTATTTGAACAAGAAGTTAAGAATTAATATTTTTTTAAATATCAATTAAATAAAAAATAAATGTAAGTATGGAAATCAAGAGTAAAAAATTAGTATTTTGTTCTAATAAAAAATCCTCCTAAGTCCTACCAATAGCAATATCCATGGTTAGTATCTCAAAGAGAATATTCAACCCTGTTTGGGCCCATTAATTATAAAATACAATTTTTATTTTTATTTTTAATTATACATTCTCCAATAAAATAATATTACTTGTAAACCTAGAAACCTTCATTATTTTTTAACCACATTCTCCAAAAATACTATTCTAATAATCATTTTTTTTAACCCCAAATGTAGCTTACTCTCATCTATCATTATCACTAATTTGTAGATTAACTTTATTTCAAG